TCCAGAAATTAATTGACTGCTTTCCTGCACTGACACATCACCCAACCCTTCATATACTGTGAGAACAAAGTGCCATCTGGTGGCACCTGGTGACATCCGGACAGCGCTGGCCTTGTGCATGGCAGCAGAGACAGAGGTGTGACATGAAAAACTCCCACTTTTTAAGTTAAAATTCTATAAAATAAAGCTCCATATTAAAACTCTCCACTTATTCTTCAGAGTGCTGGTCCATCAGTCACTCACCTGGCGATTTGAGGCCGTATTTGTGTGCGATGACAGAATGCAGATGGGCTGAGAAAAGAAACCTTCCATTTAGTCAAACTCCCCGTGGAGCCTGCAGGCTCTAACAGCTCTGCCACACCCACAGATCTACAACCAACCTACAACGTGCACATCCTGCTTTCTATAAAGAGGGAATGTGGTTCCACAGGCACACCCCACACAGTTGACAGGTGAAGCTACAGAGAGTCAGTGTCAGTAAAAATCACTCTTCCTCTCATGCTCAAAGCCCATCCCCATTCCCAGAACCAACAAATACTCACACAACACTTCAGGTATCATTTAATCTGTGCTGAGAGAAGAAACTGCTGGTTACCCTTTCCCTGCCCTCCATAAACTCACAGCTGCTTCAATATTTCGTATTCCTCTTGCCTAAAACCCTTATCTGGCCTGCCTTCACCAGGCTGTAGTGAACATCCTCTTCCCCAGGGACCTCCATAAAATTCTGGGATATTTGAGTTCCCCTTTGGCTTATACTGGGAGCTCAAACAGCATCCCAGGTATTGGAGCTTTAAAAAAACTCACGCTTTCCTTTGAGGACGAGGATCCGCTTCTTGCAAACCTTCCATTTCCAAAAAAACAGCATGGCCCCGAGGAGCACTATCACACAGAGAACCACTGCCCAAAGCACTACACCTGCAGCACAGAAAGGGAGCACAGGAGAGGTTAAGGAAGGGCAGAGGAGGAGCTCTGAGTAGATCCATGTATGTGGACACAGACCCATGGACATCGTTTCACAAGTCGTAAGGGATTTGCAGGAAGCTCCCACATAAAAAGTGTGTTTACCAAAGATATCTCCCAATAAAACATGAGTTTTAATAAAACAGAGTAACTGCTTTGTTACCTCCCATTGTCATCTCCCCCTTGGCTGAGGTGGGAAAAGTCAGATCTTTCTCCTCAGGAGCTGAACTGGGGTTTTCAGTTGTCGTGGCACTTAGAAGGTCACCACCAGCAATGGTCACCAGGCTCTCCTCAGGGCTCCTTGGGTCAGAGTGATTTGTTTCATTGCTGAATCTCGTGGACAAAGGGCTTTGGGTGAGATAGGTGGGCAATTGGTCCAGGCAAACCTGATCATGTGTGGCATTTCCTTGGCTTAGTGCCACTTTGTTTAACTTGGCACAGCTGGGAAGGAAAGAGAACTGGTGTCAGTGCTACAGAAACTGCCATGGTACAAGAGAGGAGCATTTTCCATGTGACAAACATCCCTTTGGTAATTTTTGTACTACCTTCAATTATTGCTTTCAGTGTCAAAGCCATTAACCTTCTTCTCACCCCCGTGGCATTAATTCTTGACCTGGATGCAAACCTGACACTCACACAGGGGTAGAATTCCACTGTAAACTAAAAACAAGGCAAGAGGGATTCCTTCCTTCCCTCCCTTTACTCCAGGGGCTGTGCAACAGCTACAGAGAGAGGCTTTCTAACCTCTGCTCCTGGCCCCAAAGCTATTCCAGTGCCTCTAAGATAAGTTTGTATACTTTGCACCAGAACTGGCGTGTCCCATTTCATCCTTTATTAATTTCAGTTAATCAATCAGTCACGTTAAAGAACCAGGGACTTACTCTGTGTGGGGCTTGCAGCTGTCAGTGCTGGAGCTTTGGTCAGAGAAGGTCCCAGCAGGGCACTCTTCACAAGTGACATCCCGTGTTGAGGTGCCTGAATAAAAACAATGACTGGGGACTGACCAACCAAAAGGCACCAGGTCAAGGCCCACGGCCAAGAGCAGGAAAGGTGAAGTGGAATTCCTACCTCTGACCCGGACCCCGAAGCCAGGCTGGCAGGTGGTGTGGGGCTGGCACCTGGCACAGGTGTATGGGCCGGAGGTTTGGCAGAACAGGCCCGGCCTGCACTCGCAGACACTGCTGGAGTTGAAGGAACAGGGCTCCTTCTCCACAAGGTCGAGTTCTGGGGGCAAGAAATAGAGGCAGTGACAAAGGATCACCCTGCAAGGGAGATGTAAAAGGGGGCCAAAGCTGAATGACACCAGTTCAAAGGCTGAGGAGGCAGAACAAGGTGCTGGCACTCCTCGTGATCCCGGAATGGTTTGGGTTGAAGGGACCTTAAAGCTCACCTCGTTCCAGCCCCCTGCCATCCCATCCACCTTCCACTCCACCAGGCTGCTCCAAGCCCCATCCAACCTGGCCTTGGACACTTCCAGGGATCCAGGGGCAGCCACAGCTTCTCTGGGCAACTGTGCCAGGGCCTCCCCACCCTCACAGGGAAGAATTCCTTCCCATTATCTAATCTAAGCCTACTCTCTGTCAGTTTAAAGCCACATGATGGCAACTTAAGTCATGAATAATTGGAAAAGCCTTTAGACAGTGGCTTGTGATATAAGACAGAGAGTAGAATCCAGATTGGATAGCACTGGAGAAGAGTTTTTAGGTAGTCCCCAGGTCACACAGGAAGCCACACTGACAATGTGCCAAGGTATCATTCTGCTCTCTAAATCAGTAACCAAGGATGGATAATTCTGCTGCTGGAAATTCTAAATGAATAAAATACGAACAAAGTGCAAATAAAATACATAGAGGGAATATAATTGTGAGGTATGTGTTGGGGAAAGCAAACCTCTTTTGCATAAGACACAGGCATCACATCGTAGCTTCGAGACTCGTGTGTTCACAAATTGCCCAGGCCCACACCTCATGCAGTCTGCAGTTGGGTTCTCAGGACAAGCTTTCTTTTTAACAGAGCCTGGAGGGAAAAAAAAAAAATAAATCAACAAATCAAAATATGCAGGACACCTGTTCAGAATAATGGGAGACAACCACCCTGAAGTGTCTTGTGTGCTCCTTTACCTGTTAGCCACCCTACCACAGTCATTTGGTTTCTCTAGCATGTTTTTGCCCTTCCCATTTGAGCATGAAGGGCTCACAACTGTCCTGGGGTGGGACATTATCCCAGTTGGAATGGGCTGCTGCAGAATGGGCACGTGGCAACTCATTTGCTGACAGAAAAGACCACCAAGTCTGCAGTGAGGGCAATTGTCCTGCCATTCCTGAGTTCCCAGGAGATTGGTTTTCATGGTTTCCTCTTTCCTTCAATTAAAAGGACTTTTAGAAAAGCTGCTCTTCCTTTGCAGTGAGCAGCTGAGTTTGTAGCAGACATGAACAGGTTATTGCTTGGAGGAGTAGTGGAGGATTAAAATGAAAAAGGATTCTTATAACTTTTATTGTGGACAGGATGTGAGGAGATGTCCAGGACTGACATGAGGATGTAGCCAAGGAATGAGTGACAAGAATCAGCAGAGGTGAAATGATGGATACTGGTGGCTTATTGATGTAAATCAGATCTCTGCTTCTCACTGTGACATCTGTCATGACAGGACCTTTGGCAAAGAATGGTTTTGGAGGAGAAAAGAGCTTTCCTTGGGACTGTCTCTGAGTCACAAGCTCCCTCTTTTCTTATTTTCTCCATCCCTTGCTCTTGTTTACCTGTACAACTTCTGAAGGAAGGTGTGGCCAGCAGTACAGGATGTCCCAGTGGGAATCCTGATGGAACTGCACAAAAATGCTGGCAATCAAACACTAACCCCCTCTGTATTATCAGAGCTCAAATAAATGTCAGAAATTTCCTTTAAGAAAAACAAAAGAAAAAGAACAGATTTCTGAGAGAAGATACTGATGGTGGTGAAGCACCACAAAATGCCCCACCCACCGAGGGGTTTTTTGGCCAATAGAGGCAGTTTCAGACATTTCCAGAGCTCTTGTCTCACCAAGGTGTTTCCTGCTCTGACCTCATGTGCCTTTGAGTCACAACCAGCTTCTAGCAAAGCTCTCAGTGTCCCCAGACAGGGGACACTCACGTGAGACACTTTCTAAACTGTTGTGACTGTGAGAATAATAATCAGATTTTCCATGTCTTCATTTTGTACTTTTTGTCTGTGAGCAGAAACTCACTGAGTCTAATTTCACTGTGCTATTTCACACCCTAAGGGAAGCTGAAATGAATTCTGCCTGTTTCTGGCTGCTTCAGTGTCCAGTGAAGTGATAAAAAGCACATTAAAAGTCTGCCAAGTTCTCTAGTTTGCAATTTGGTCACTGTTTGCATGCACAGGAGCAGGGCAGTGGAGAACAGATTCACATCTAGATTCAATTAGACAGTGATTCATGAAATTGCTCTTTTTTTTCAGGGACAAAACGCAATTCTGCAGATACACAGAGTTCCTACTGTCTCTCCCAGAAAGACTCCATGTAAATTTGATTATTTTATAAACATACTGACCTGAGGGACACTGGTAACAGCAGCTTTGTGAAGTTTCATCATAGAACCAATTCCCACGTGTGTCACAGGAATGAGATGGGGTTAATGATGTCTAGAAAGTGAGACAGGCAAAAGACACAATCAGAAAACAACTAATTCTGTACTAGGGCAGATCCCAATACCTGTCCCAAGAGATGACAGCTGCAGATGGTAAGGAAAAGCCCTCAGCTTTTTGAAACTTCAAGTATCCCCAAAGCAACTAAATTAATGTCTGCATCTCCTTTATAAATCTTGCAGCAGTTAGCAAAAAAAAAAAAAAAAAGGATAAAAATCATTGTCCTGAAATGGTCCCATGTTCATTTGAGATAAGGAATTTTTTAGGGAAAAGAAAAACAATCCCTAACCTCTGCAACAGATTTCCAGCTCTGTGTGCAGTGGAGTAAAAGGTGGTGCCATATTCAGCATCATCTGAACCCAGGCAGATGGGCTGCAATGCACAGAGGTAACTCTTGGCAGCAAAGAGGTTTTTCTCTTATTCATGCAGTCATAATGCTTGAATTTATCAACCTAAGGATGTGTTTATTATAAACCAATTAACTGTTTTATTTATCATTTAGGGGCAAATCCTGCACTGAGAACACAAGAGGGCTTTGCCTTGGAAAGAATGCTGCAAATGTTCTCACACTGAAGCTCTTATTCAGATAACTCATCCCACTTCTGTTGTGAGTGAAGGTTTTCAGAAATAACCTTTCGTTACTACATAACCGATACTGGTTTAGTTAAAAAAAACCCACCACACAATAGTTCTAATATTGGCTTAGAAAACGAGACTGGGCTACGAATTGGAACAAGAAACATTATAACAAGACTTTGTTTTTGTATGGCTGGGCCACCACATGCTCTGGGAAATTACGGTGCCACAAGTGTTCTGATGAGAAAATCTGATTTTTGAATTTGGCATCTCCCTTAATAATCCCCTAAAACTGTTATTATCTGAATTTCATTTTCACTTTTTGCTAGAAGGCATAAACAGCGATTTTTCTGTGAAGAATCAATCAGCAGATTCCCCTGAGATTTTCCAGCACGATACTGGTAGAGCAGTTAAATATTTCAGAAACTCTCCATCTCACTTTCTGCTGATGAATTCCCCACTAGGCTTTGAAATAAAACCTGCTGCCTTTGTACACTGTGCAGAATCTCACTACCTAACTCACTTCACAGCCTAGTCTGTTTAACACACAGAAATTATTTAACTTCCATCAGAAAACAGAACTTTCAGTCAAGGAGGAAATGAATAGGAGGGTAAGAAATAGAATCACATTGAAACCATTAAATTTCATTGATCTCCACCAGTAACAGAAGTGAGAATGTGACACATCTCTGCATCACCCCTGGGCCAGAACCTCCCTACAAGTATTTTTCCTGTCTGACTGCAGAGGAAGAGCAGAAGGCTCTGCCTGCTCAGCCTGACTCAGATCTCACTTCCACACGTGCCCCCCGTGTTTTCCTGTTCTGAAGAGGAAGCCCCAGACTGCAGGAAAGGGAAGTGGGATCTCCTCCCTTCTGTGTGCAGCTCCAGCCTGGCCAGGCAGCCACTGAGCCCGGAGTGAGCGACACCAAACCACCAGCCACCACACCAGGGGTCATTCCTGAGCCACCACAGTGATATGAAGTGAATTCACTGGGTTTAGAAAGAAAATTTAAGAAGCTACAGCATCCTGGCTGTAGCTAATCAGTCTGGATTGGATTCTCTGTAAGACCTGTGGGAAGTCACCACAAACACATGATTTTCTCCTCCTGGGCAACCAACTCTGGCTGCAAATGCAGCTGAATTTTAAACCAGGGTGGGAACAAAATTCTTGAATTATTTATGCAGCACACAAGCTTACAGTATATCTGTGTGTTTCTGGGTTTAAATAAAGGAAGAGTGCCTGTGTAAAAGTATGAGGGAAGGGCAGCTTTTTAAAAAGTTACCTTGTTCCAAAATATGGAAATCAGGAGTTCAGGGTTAGATTCTGCTCCTGGATACAGCAGTGCACGTTATGATTATGAATTTGACCTGATGCCAGTGCAGTGATAAATTACTGCAAGAACTAGATATGGATACCACACAATTTATGAAAATATACCTAAGAAAGAGAGTACTGAACCTTCTTTCCCCCCTCTCCACAGGAGGGCAGCTCTGCCCTACAGCTACATTATACACATCATCCACACCTCCCCAGCAAATGCTGCTCTCAAGCATCCAGCACAGCCTTGTACTGTTCACTGAGCTGTGAAAAGAATTCACTTTAACAAATCATGGCAGGATTTCTGTGGCTGACAAACCACCCTCTGAAGGCACCACCACTTCTAATCCAAGTCACCTGCAAAATGGCTTTAAGGTTGCCCCCTGTTCAGTAGGGGTGTTTCGTGAGCAATTAGCACGGACCCTTTCAGTGGTAAATCACACACATATCAATGCTCAGCCTCAGTCACCATGTCCCCATTCTTGTCAGCTTTTCCCCTCTAAATCCTGAAGCTGTTTGACTCCTGCCCTGGGTGGGACAGGTCTCTGTCAGCTGTGATGAGAAACCTCAGAGCCTTTATTTCTGCGTCTGTGTCCCGTCTCAGAGTGGGTTTGATCTGGCTTGGACAGGAGGACACAATGCAGAGGTGATGCTGCTTTGTGCCAGCTGCAGGGGAACAGAAAAATGTGTGAGCTGAGAGGAAGGGGAGCTGCAGCAGCAAACAATCTCCAGTGCAGCAGAGAGCTTCTCACCACAAAATTAATCTGTCCACACCTTTTGAACAGATTTGAACAAGTCATGAGTCTCTGTCAGATCAGTAATTTACATCTGGTTTTGCTCTAGTACAAGGAATTCTTCAATTGGATTCAGTGTGCTGTTCAACTGGAGGGAGACAGAGACTGAATTTCACTAATTTTTCCTGCATGCTCTTCAAATAAAGGTTTGGGACTTAGCAGGAGCTGGAATACATGTGGTGAAAGGAAAGACCACAATTGCTATCCTGCTTGGACTGCTCTGTGTCAGCATCCCCAGGGATCCCCTGGTTTAGTGCTTTCAGTGACCTAACAGGCCAACTATTTTTTTTCTTTTCTAAATGTGTTGCAGATCAAGGCCCAATTAAATAGAGCAGACATATTAGATACAAAGCATTTGGGTTTTTCAGTGCTTTCTTGTGAGACTTTGTTTTAGAAGGTAGGCTTTTTGTAGCTCTTCTCACTTTCCTTGGTTCTACAAACGTGTTTGCTATTCCAAATTAAATAATGGCAGTTGTAAAGATGGTGCTGAATTCAGTGGGCTACTCTGCAGTTCAGTCAGGGCAAGGTTTGACTCATTTACTTATGGCCTTTTGAGCTCATAGAGAAAAAGTGATGGTGAGGCAGAGCACGAAATTTGCTACAAATGAGCTGTAAGTCAGGAAGAAAGCACATTACAGTAAAAAAAAGATCTCTACCAGTAGTGGCTATTCTAGAACTGACTAATACTGCAGCAAAACAGTTAACTGCCTGTCAAGCTTCTAGCCAAATTCTGACAGCACTGAAGAAGCTGGTAATCTAAGGCTTCAAGTTGTCAAGCTCCATCTGTTTGATAATAAAGACATTATCAACAAATGAGAGTTCACTGAATAGAAAAAGAAACAAAACCCAAACTGTGGACTTAAGTAAGGTGGAACATGGTTTAAAAATATGACCAGTAAGCTGTTACTAGCTCACATTAAATAGTATCACCTGTACTCCAGTATCAGTAAAAGCAGGTATTTCTGTGATTGAGGCAATGCAGAAGGACAGTAAAAGCCAGTTGCTTGTCTCAGCTGATGATTTTGCAGTGAGTCTGCATGTTGACAATGACTATCAAAAAAACCCAGATTTTCTCACAGCTCCTTTCATTTTGTGAAAAAAACCACCAGAAGTGACATCAACTAGCAAAAATATCATCCTTTTTCTTTTTTTTTCTGTTGCCTTTCTCCTAAAGCAGTTTGCATTCAGGAGGCCAGACAAGTTTATCTGAATGCCCTCCCAAGTACTCCCCAGGTGAGCAAGGACTACAGACTCCAATCCCTCTGTACTTCAGGAAGGAGACAGTGGCAGGACAGATAAGGAGGGGAAAGTAGAGCAAACTTGCCACGTGGGAGGGGAATTTACAACTACAGATGCAAGAGCAAACTCCTACTCTTACCAAAAGAGCCAAGAGGACCTTTTTCAAATGCCTATGAAGAGGATGCAGGACTTGGTTATTTTCAAAGATCTAATTGGAGTCAATGTCTTGTAAAATACCTCCTGGCAGCCCAAGTGATGTTCTATTATTCAGACAGACGGGTCTGTTAGGTTAATATATGCTCATATTTCCCCATTTCAGGATCCAGCACAGAGGGCAATTACTCACCTACTTAACTGTACCTGTGCAGAGAGTCTCTGTGACTGACCTTTGTTTTTTTTAACGTGCATGCCTCGGTGTTGGCCAGGGAAATTACCTGGATTTATGCCAGGTGCTGAGGGCTCGTTGCCAGGGGACCCACGGGAGGAGGGGGGTGAGTGGCAGCATCGGGGTGGCAGCAAAGCCACAGGAGCTGATACGATCTGAGCAGGGAGCTGGTGTGCACCTACAGCATCACTGAGTGCAGCTGCAGGGCCGTGTCTATTTTAAGTGATTTTGATTCAGAAAGAATAGTGGATTCATGAGGAAGTCAGAGTCGGGGGGGGGGGGTTGTAAAGAGGAAGGTCTGTTATGGTTTTGCCTCTACACCTTTCAATTTGCCTTTCCTGACTCGCCTCAGCAGAGTGAGCAGCAGCCTCTGAACGAAGCTCTGCAAGGAATGTGCCTTTCACAGAGCACACAGGCAGAAATAAAAGCCCCCCTACCCCAAGCAAACCTTCCCTCCCTCCCTCCCTCGCCTCCCTCCCTTCCGCAGCTGCGATGTGCCTGGAGCTGCAGGAACTCCAGCAATGCAACACGGGATGCACGATCCCAGCTCGCAAGCCTCTGCTCCTGCCTGCAGAGTTCCCAGGGAGGGCAAACTCTTCTGGCTGCCCTGCTTTATGCCTTTATCTCCTGGCAGCTCTGCTTTATGCCTTTATCCCCCCACGTTGCACAACCCCTGTGTCTGTGGACACCCACTCTCCCACCCCCAGCCCTGCAGCCCCGGCTGCCTCCAGCCCTCCCCAGGCTCCTTCGTCCTGAGGGGCTGCAGGATCCTGGTGCCTCCCTGCCTTACCTGCAGGGATGTCTGGATGTCCTGGAGAAGCAGCAGGAGCTGCAGGGCCAGTGCCAGGCTGCAGGCAGCCATCTGAGGTGGTGTTAGATATCCCTGGCTCCCAGCATTGCAGGTGGCACAGCCAGGTTGCTCCTTCTGGAAGCCGAGATCCTTCCAGGCTCCAGCCCAGCCTTGCTCCGCGTCTGTTCATTCAGCCCAGGGCCATTCCAGCTGTTCAAGACAAGCAAGGGACAGGCTTTGAGACTCAAGCGAGGTGAGAAAACAATTTAGGAAGGAGGGAGAGGGGGGGCTGCCCCCAGAAGAAACCTAAAAAAAGAACAAAACCAAACCGCCTCAGCGCCGGGTCCCGGCGCTGTCGGGTGTCTGTGGGCCGGGTGTGAGCACCCAGGTTGCACCCTGAGGCTCGGGGCTGGCTGTGCCGGCGCCTCCTGACTCATCTGGGCTGCCCTCAGAGAGCACTTCACCAACCCAAAGCCTGGGCCAGGCACGAGGCCAAGCCCTGCCCCATCCAGCCGCCAGTTTTTCGAGAGCCGCGACCAAGCCCCGGGAGAGTTCCCAGTAAGAGACACTCATTGTTTCAGTGCAGTCGTTCTGCTCCTGTTTGCATAAGTGGGTGAAGACTCACAACCAGCCAGGGTGACTCCACCAAGGTTTAGGTTTTACGTATTGCCACATGTTGCCACTTAAACACCAACATGTCACGGACCATCCTCTTGAGAATCCTTCCCTTTCCTCCAATCCCACTGGAAATAAATTCCTCCTGCTGACAATCATGCCCGGGTTTGCTACTCACCATTTTGCTCATTTTCATTTGTCACTCTGGATGGTTTGTGCTCTGGTGCCTGGAAAGATTTCAGTTGATTGAATGTGTCATGAAGCCTTCTTATCTGCCCTAGGAGTTTTGTCAGAAGTGAAGGTTAGCCACTTCAAAAAGAGCAGAGTGCCTTGAAAACCTCTCTGAGGTACACAGGAAAATCATGACAATTTGAATTCTCACACCTCTGGGTTCGGTTTTAATTTTTTTGTTGTTGCTTCTCACCCTTATCAGCAAAAAGAAAACCGAAAGAAATGAGGGAAGATTGAAAGTTGGACAAATGATTATTTTACTAAAGACCCAGAGCTACCCCACTGCCTCCCAGATGAGCACCAAAGGTGAGCATTCCACAGGGACCCTGTGTAAATATCTTCTGTAACTCACAGCTGTAACTCTTGTCTTTTTGACTAACTACCTGGATTTCTTTCTCCAGAATGCCACTGTATAAACCCCAGGCATTTTCAGCACATTGCATGGAGTGTGTTTGACATGTAACTCCACTCTCCTCCCTTCCCTGTAATGCTCAGTTTCTAAGTTCTCTTAGCTATAAAAGCTGTTGGGGTAGATATGCCTTGAAGGCCTAGAGACAACTAAGTATTTGAATGTCAGAGTATCACGTTCTTGTTTTCCCCAATTAAATAAATGGGCTAGAAAACACCTTAATCTTCTGTAATAATATGCCATTAAGCAATTCTCCCAATCTATAAATGCAGTTTCAAATGACATAATGATCAGGGCAATTGGTGAGCTCTGCTTGTCTTTTTTTCTCTCCTCTCTGAGTATTTTTTCTCTGCTCAGCCCCTATCTAAGCTCTTCTAGCAAAAGGACAGGCACCAACACAAGAGACAGCCTGGAAGGTTTAAGTTCCACTGCTGAGGTCAGAGTATCTAATACAAAAAGTAAGTATGTGAGTACAAAAAACACTGTGTGTGAAAGACTTTCCCAGAACTGGCAGCAGGGAGAGTTTTCTGGCCCGTTTTCCAGATAAAGTAAGACTGAAACAAGCCCACTGAGCATTTGGTATATGTACATATATGTATATCAGCTCCTTTTTAACGAATGGTGTCAATAATTTTTGAACCCACTGGATAACTTCAATCAAATTTGGCTGAGGAGGGGGTGCCATTAAAATTTACAAGGTTTCACAGAAGGAGATGACTTGGATGAAGGGACAAGGTGCTCATGACAAGCTCCCTGAGGGAGAGGCTGCAGGAGGAGATCAGTCCTCCTCAGAAGAAAGAATCCACTCACATGTCCAAAGTGAAACCAGGCTTCCAGCTGCCATTTTTCCTTGAACTTCTTATTCTCAAGCTCATTCTTGATTGAACCAGATACTTAAAAGGATGGGAAGTGGAAAGGGCTTATTGTTGCTGCTGTTTTTTCAGAAAGGCTGGTACCTCACACAGTGCTGTCTCAGGTCTGTAATAAAAGAACAGCAATGAAGAGGTTGTTTCACGGGAACATCCCAGCCTGCACTTCCAGCTGAATGCATTCATGTCAGACTTTGCGTGTTTTGATTTGAAATACAACAAAAGGGGCTTTCCAAAGGAAGCTCTGTTAGTAACTGGAAGAAGCACCTCCAGTTTACAACAAGCCCACGCTGCTGCTCTCCACACGTCGGCTGCGTTTCCTAGAAAATAGTCCTCTGTGTTAATGTGAGAACAACAAAAGTGCAGAACAAACAGAAGCAAACAAACAACCCCTATTTCTCTGGTCTTCCATCAGGGGACAACATCTATCAGAGAAAAGGGGAAGCCCCTAATGAGCATGATATTGTTATTTATAATGTTAATTTGATTGCACGCACCTGTTAATATCTGAATCCCTTTTTGCTTTGGGTGTTAAAAGGTGGCAATGCCCCAAGATAAGGTTCCTTGGCAGTTTGTATTTTAACTTATTTGGTTCATGCCAAGCTTAGGTGTTTTCTGCATAGGGTATCTGGTCAGTGTGAGCTGCTTGGAGCTGAGAGGGATCAGAGAAGGTCCTGTAAGTCAGCAGTTGTTCAAATGTCACTTGATTCCTGGAGCAAGAGGATGCAGAGACCCAACCAAACCACGAGGAAAAGTCTCCACCACGTGCCCAAAGCATCCCTTCAGCACTGCCTGTCCACTGAACAGGGAGAGCCCAGCAAAGGGAGCAGCCATGGAATGCTCCAGAAGCAGCACTGGAACACATGTGCTCAAGCAAAAGTACTCATGCCATTTTCTAATTTTGAAGTGGCTGATTTTGGTCTCATGTTGTACTTTTAGCATGGTTTCTCCTGGGTTTAAATATGTGTGTTCAGTTAATATGGGTCCAGCTGTATCAGAGGAAAAACACACAGAGAGAAGTGTCATCTCTGAACCCTTGTCCAACAGATAAAAGAGGCCATGGAGTTTGAAAGGACACATATTAAAACACCTTGTCTAAAATCTGTATTTCAGTGTCTGTCAGTGTTGCTATTTGGAGCATTGCAGTATGCTGAGAAAAAAATCACCAAATTCTTGCTCCTTAGCCAGGGGGAACAAGCCCAGACCCTGAAACTCCAGGGGCTTCAGGAGCACCAGGAGCACCAAAGGCAGTGCTTGTTGGGAAAAAAGCCGTGCACTTCGGGGGTATAAATTAAACAAGAGAAGAGAAATGAAGGCATTTCCTGCAATAAAAACCACAGAGAATCTCACGGTTAAAAGAAGGAAAATAATAATAAAAAAAAAACGAAGAAAGGAAGAAACCCAAGAATCTCGTTGTGCATTAAGGGGGAGCTCTGTCCCTGGGCATCCTGCAAAGTGACACTGTGGTGACACAGGAGCCCAGTGATTTTGGGCATTGCAAGGGCATTGCAAGGGAAGCCAAGGGACTGAACTTCTCTGGAAATCTCTCCATGGCCCAGAAAGGACAGGCAGGAGGGAGGGCAGCACTGGTGCAACGTGATCTCACTGAGACACTTCATGAGGTGAGGGAGCCATCAGGGTTTGAACTGCCTGCAGTGACACAGCACTGAAATGACACTCGTTAAAAGGAATAAAATCTCAGTTATGCCAAGTGTGCCACAGACTGGCCAAATTGTGTCCCTCTACTCTGTCACTCTGGTACTGATACTTATTTGCTGGCACACACAGTTCTCTTCTTCTTAGTGTTAAGTCTTTGTCAATCCATTTAATTTTGGCACTTCAGCCACTCTGCACTGTGTTAAATACATTCCAGATGCTCTTGAGAACATGACCTGCAGAGCTGTATTGATTCAGCAATTTACATTGGCATGTTTGTCCCCTGTCCTCAACAAGGAAGGTGGTGTGAAGTTCTTGTTGTCCACTTGTTGAAATGTAGCAATGGCTTAAAACAAGAGTTACCATCAGGAAAAAAAAAAGGTTATCATGTTAATGATACAGATAACATGGCTTGATTTTCAATTAGATTTCTTCTGCAGATGTCATGTATATAAATTTTATGTGGATAACAAAGTTCTTATAACTGTTTTTGTTATCTCAACTAATACTACTGCCTTACATAAAGTGATAAAATAACTAATGTAACAAAATAAATGTGTATAAAATGACTTTTTCTGGCCTGTAGTAGCTTCAAAACTAAAGTACATTTTGAGTCAGACTGAAAAATGAGAAGAGCTGACAGAGAACTCAGTTCTCTCAAGAAAGGCTTGGCTTCCATGAAGGAAACCAAAACCATATCACAGAATTACTATGCCCACAGGCTGGGAGGGAGAGAGAAATGACCTTAGATGGGAGATCACATCATGTCTGTACTTTCAGTAATTCTGACAGCAGCTCCTGGAGGGGTGGGATAGTTCCACATGGTCATTCTCCACAGGCAAAGCTCTTGATCGAGGGAATTGGGAAAGCACCAACAGTTTCAGTTCTCTACATTTAAATCCAAATTTGAAAATAAAAAACGTTTGGGGAAGACTGGCAAGGGGGTTAAAACACAGGAGTGGGACTCATGAGTCCCCAGTACTGTCACAGATGTTTTGGGTAACTCAAATCCTTTCTTGATACTCTGGTTTTCCTCATCTAAAAGCTGAGTTTAAAGCTTACAGAAGCAAGATGAGATTTCCTTTGCTGACACAAACAAAAGAAAGCTGGGAAATATCAAATAATATCATATAATTTTTGTGAAAGAAACAAATGGGAAGATTTTCAGGATGCGTTTTTTTCAAAGTGTGAAACTTTTTTTTTTTTTAATGACTACAGCTGAGCATCTCAACCCTGACAATTTAGGGTGTTATTTTCCTCTTCCCAGCAGCAGGTTTGCTCTGCAGAACCAATGGAATACACCAGCTGAAGGAGAAAACCAAGTCCTTATGTTTGGTCTGCTACTACCCAGGAAACTGGTGAAATGGAGACTTTTAACTCCAAAGAGAAGGGGCAGAACTTCTGTTGTGCTTTCAGACTCGACACACACTGAAAATAAATTCTTCTGGGCTCTGAAAACAAAAGTTCCAAAGAGATGAAAGGCCCCAAAATCAAAGTCTGCAAATGATTCAGAAAGTGAGTTCGTGCCACACGCGGATGTTTCACCTGAGGGTTCTGGAGACAGTCCCTGCCTGCTGAGAACGAAACAGAAGCCAGAAATCAGCACTACACTCATTCAACACTCCTGATATTAATTCTTACAATGGACTGACAGCAAGAAACACCTGATCCTGAGATATCACCAAAATTATCTTAAAATAGTCAGAGAGAGCAAACACAAACACCACTGACAGTCTGACATTGGTTCTGAGAAGCAGATGGGAGCTGGGTTTTAACTACACATCTCTGTTCAAACCAATCACTAATGCATCATTTACTGTGTCTCATTTGCCTAATTAAGCAAAGCTGGATTTCCCACCCCATGAATCAGTGTTATAGGCATGCAGTACAGTCAGAAAGGGGAACTAAACCACTAGTTTACCATCAAAGCATCAGGCAGAAGAGAGCTGACACAAACGAGCACACACACACACTGAGTCAGCCTTCACCAGGACACACAGCTGCCCAGGTTAAAGCAGCACCTTCCCAAGTGCCAGGAATGGGAAAAAACATAAACCCAGGCCAAGCCTACCTCCAGGAGCAAGGGACAAGCTGTCCCAGAGCCCTGTGCCTGCACAACAAAGGCCAGTATCTGTATTAGTTTGTGCCTCAGGACAGCCCTGGATATACTGGGACGTTACTGGGAACTTTTCCTTTACACATTTTGAGCCCCACATCAGCAAAGGTCTCACCCATCTCAATTCTGCTTCGTCTCCTTTCCAGACACCCCCAATCTCAAAACGTTCCCATTTTTCTGACCCACAATCCAAACAACCCCAACACACCACCCCCAGCCTCTGTTCTCCCTGGAAGTGCTGATCCCAGTCCATCACTGTCCAACTGCTGAAGCTGCTTTAACACTGGAGGAAATGCAGTTTTCCAAGCAGTTAATAGATGAGTTCCTTCACAGTGCACCCCCAGGTGACATGTCAGTCACCCTCCTGCAGGGAAGGGTGCATTACCTGGGATTGTGTCACACACTACAGGGCAAAGCCACTGTGCAAAACCTTGTTATTACACTATAAACCATTCCTGCCTCCACAAACTGCTCCTCACAGCACGGGGCTGAAAGGCAGCTTGTGCAGGCCTGGGAGTCATCACTGCTCCAGAGGCTGTGCAATGGAGGGATGTGGGGGGGACAGGAATTAAGAAAAAGAAAAGGTTCCACAAACAGGAGCATTTTCAGTCTGTTCCAGCTTGCAAAAAAGGGCAGGATCACAGAGGCCAGAACCAAGCCCCTGAGACAAACCTGAGTGAGGAGGGGCAGCATCACTGACTCCTTTCACCTGTTGCTAGGGGAGAAAGAGCCACAATCTCACTTCCAATGCTTTCACAAGTGTAAGAGACTGATGTATTCCCAGCTATCAAGAGACTATTTTGAATTCACCTGGTTCCAACCTGCATCCACCAGACAGATTCACATCATTTACTGAATCTACAGCAGCTCCTTTTCTGTGATAAGTGGAGCAGACCTGCTTTAATTTATTTCAGGATAAATTAATAAAAGGTTAATTAAGGTTAATGTTTAGTGTTTTGGGTTAGGCAATGTAGTAAAAATGTTGAATTTTCCCTATTCAGTTTAAAATTTGGCAGCTAGTGTTTTATAGTCACTTGATTAATTTCTTTTAAAATTAGTATTTCCAATAATGGAAATCACATTGCCAATTCCATTCACTTCACCCTACAGATGCACAACTCAAAGCTAAACTAGTCAGTTTAGCCTTTCATTTTCCATTCCAAGTCTTACATTAAAATTTCATCATCTTGCAATATTCCTGCCTGCTTAAAAAAGTCTATTCATACATTTGATTCAATAAATAATGTATTTGATATAAAAATAACAGTGAATGCCAAGAAGCTGCATAAACCATTTCTCTCTGCAAAACCATTCTCTCAAGTCAGTCCCAGAAATACATTTGAGGGAGGAATTTCTGTTTCAGAAAATTCAAGGCAAAATAAAACATCAGGTTTATTGGTTTTAGGCAAGGAAAGTAAGATCAGTCCACGAAGTTCAAACTAATTGTACTATGTAATGTATTTTGTTTTGGTACAATTTAAAAACTCCAAAATGTTTTTTTGGTTTATCTCCCAACGAACTTGGAAAAGCAGAGGCAAGCACAATTTGCAAACATTTTAAGGCTTTAACATTATCTAGCTTGTTAATGAATAAAATCTCATTTTAACATGTTTTTTCACACTCACAGTTACTCTGTAGCTACACACATTGCACTGAAAATAAATAGGATTTTTTTAATTTTAACTGAATTATTCAGGAACTCAAGTTTAGGGCACTAGAAACTTAAGTGTCATGTTTCAAATGTTTGGAAATCACCATATTTGTGTCACTCCACTGAACCAGGCCCTTCATAGGCCAGTTCCTCCCCTGGCACTCAAGAGTTGAGTTACACTGGTGGTGACTCAGTTGAGGTGGCAGGACTGCCATGGCTGTCCCTACTCATCCTGGGCACATCCCTTTAGCCAGCCCCAGGTGGGACAGCTCTCAGGAGCAGCTGCAAGAGGCAAAAAAGAGAAGTGAACCCCCCCACTGGACTGTACAAACTCGCACACACACGCGCCGGTCACCGCGCGACCGCGGAAACCCATCGGGCAAAATCTGTGCCAAGATTAACTTTTTATCCAAATGGCCTCGTCTGTGAGTTGTTCCCACGTGCTGTGCCCACCTCTTCCCCTGGGCATCAAGTCTGTGGTTCACAGAGTTGAGGTTAAACCAGCCTGGTCCGACCCGGGAGCTGCTCTCCGGCGTCCCCGCCTGCTCTGCCTCCTCCCAGGGGAGGCACTGCTGGACCTGGGACGTGCCAAGGGGGGCAGGGGCTCCTCAGCTCCTCTGGGCACTCTGGGCAGCGAGTCCTGGGAGCCAAATGAAGAGGGTATTAATCAAAGAGTGCCACAGTGACTTCTCTTTGATGAACTCTGGTGAGCTGAACAGGCTTTTTGCCCCTTGTTTTTTTGTCCCTTTTTTGTCCCTGTGCACACTGGTTGAGAAGAAGGAAAATGTTTCCCAGTGGTGATACATTTTCGTTTGCTCAGCCCTTGATAATCATCAAACCCTTTAGAGGTGGGACAGCAATTTCCATCTGTGCAACTCCCAGCATCTCCAGGGACTCTGGAGGCTGTGCTTACCAGGTGAGGATGGGGAGAAGGCCTCTCTTCCAGGGAAGCTCTCAGATCCAAACTGCTGAGCCTGGGGTTGCTTGGGGGGATGATGTTTTCCCAGCCAGCCAGGCAGTGCTGTGAAAAGAGATGGAAATGCTCTACCCTTTTGTATCTATTGTGGCCTAAACATAGTTCTAAATAATAATTTCTGCACAGGGAAGTTTTAGCAATTGTTAAAATAATTAATTAATTTTTGAGGAGTCTTATATGACTAACAGAAAAATGATGAAATCTCTAATGAAGCAAAACTGCCCCTCTCCTCTTCCACCTTTCACTGGCTGGTTACTTCTAAGCTGATCTCCTGCTCTGTGAACTCAAGCACCCGACCTCTCTGAACCTGTCTCAACTGACTCATCCAGTTCCCTAAACCTCAAAACTAAGTTTCCTCCCACCTCTTCCCTGGAAATCTTTAGGCCAGGGTCAGATCAGCAATACTGCCTAGCACTGGTTACTGGCTGGAATACAGGACCAGCTCTACAGTAACAGTTTGAAATGCACCCCTTGCCACTACTGATTACACTGTGTATGCTTCATGGATGCTCTCCTTCCAGACTCCCTGACACCTGTGGAAGGAAACACAGGCACTCTTAGGTGTGGATCACCACGTTGAGCCAGTCAAATCTGCCCCAGAAGGACACAGCTCCACGTGGTACTTTCCTTCATGCAGTGTAAAGCACTGGAAATATGTCACCCACTCTGTGCCACTTCCACAAAGGCACCAACTCAGAACACACCAATGGGTTTGCTGCCTCAGTGACACAGGTCAGAAATTTTAGTGGAAACCCTGCCAGGGCAATGAGTCACAGATTTTCTTTCCCTCTTAAAGCAGTGCCCAGCCTGGGCTGTGCCACCAGCAAGACCAGCAACTCACCGAGGGTAAGGCCAGATCGTCTGCTGGCTCAAAGCTCCTCCTGCGATGGGCTTTGTACTTGTGGGCAGGCAAAAGGGTATTCCTGGGAATGCTGACCCTGCAACCACACAAGGGAAGTAAGTGCCTGCACCTCTGACAAGGCAGAGGAAATCTGCCTTCCCCACTCAGAATCCAAGGGTCTAATCCCAAAGTGAACCAAGCAAAACGGTTTTGGATCAGGGCAGTAGACACTTCACGTTCAGATTCTGAACCAAATTTGGTTTAAACAGGCATTTCTCATTGACTTCAAAACTGTTTGTGCTCATGGAAAAGATCAGTGAGGAATTTTTAAGCAACATGTATCTCTGCCTTGAGAACAGCAACCTTCTACAGAGCTGTTGTGATGCTGTTTTCTCCTTCACCTGATCAGCTTTTTCTTCCCTATTGTTTCCTTGAGTTCTGCATGTTACAAGGCAGTAACTCCCATTTACCTGACATGGGCTGGCTCTTCCAGTGTCCCTGGGGGCTGGTGGGCACGTGGGATCTTACACACAGGGCAGGCAGATTCTGGATCCACAGGGACAGGGAACAGGCGCTGGTTTAACCGGTAACAGTAAAAACCTGCACAGAACAACAAACCACCAAACTTCACATTCCTTGTTTGTCAGAAGGTTCCTCAAACCAGCCAACAAAGCTGTGTTCTACCACAGTGCCACACCTGCATTCTATAAGAGGAGCTGCCTTTCCTCAAATATCTTTTACATTTCCTGTTCCCAAGTAAGTTCCTAAAAAGCAAAACCAAAACTTCAACCTCAACCTAAAACCAGAACATTAGCCAACTATGAGAAACCCTGACAGTGATTGAGAGAAGACTCAAGTGCCTTTGGAGTAGGAAGTTGCATCTGGTTGAAGAGCTGTAGCTGAAAATAGCATTCTTCCTTGTCTTGCATGATGTGCTGCTGTCTCAGGATGACAAAGACTGCACAGTTGTTTTTTCACAGAAATTGGGAGTAGGAAGAAATGTGATCTTACACTTATGGGAACTGGTTATCAAATCTGGTTCTTGTTCAGGAACTGTGCAATCCAGAGCCTTGGGCCTAAAGAAACACACAGAGAGATCAGATGGGGACAGAGGGGAGGGTCCTCTGAGCAGCCCAGCCTTTTCCAAGCACACATTTATGCCTGGGAGGTAAATAAAGGCCCTCAAAGCCACCCTTACAGTGTCCCACTCCAATCAGACCACGGCTCTCATTACTGCATTGCTGCTCCAGCCCTTCCCCATCCCCACTTACTCCAGGTCCTGCTCATCAATACAAGCTTCTCTGTTGGCCTGTCGGAACTGCTGCAGCTCAGCAAAGTATTGCTCAGATTTTTCTGTTACTGAAGACTTTGTTTCAAGGAGCCCTGAGAAGGCCAAGGAGAGAGGAAAGTTCACGGGTTTATCAAATTTTGGAAAGCACCAAAGCCAGCCTCACAAAAAACAGTCAGAACAAAATAATGGTAATGAGAAGACCAGGCCATGATGTCAAACCACAGATTAACTGTGTGGTCTGGCTTCCTTATTTCATTCCAGTTATTTGGTATCCTCCCTGACCCCACAAGGCTTTGTCATTTGCTGCCTGGATTCCCATAGCACTGCCACTTCACCATTCCAGGGAAGCACAGGTCATGTTTGGACAGGAAACAGCCTCTGACAGAGCTGCAGCCCCTCTGCTGAGACTTTCTGCACGGACTCGAGGACAGCAGTCCCACCACTCCTCAACTTAAAGGGGTCATAAACTGTGTTTTAACTCTTCATACCACCCCATCCTGCTGAGAGCTTTGCTTCAGGGTTAGGATTCACCTGCAATCCAGTCATAGCCCAGGAAAGGACGGGCAGACCAGCTGCCCACTGGTGTGGCATCTTCTTCAGGCTCAGGCTGAAAAGTCACATGATGAGCTTTCTTCTGGGAAGAAAACAATTCATAAAGACTTCTTAGTCATTCAGTAGGATATTCAGAGGTACAGCTGAGGAAACAACTGGCAACTGCTCAAATGGGACAGCTGTGACTTAGTTTGAGGCTGGATTCTATCTGTGCCTCCACCAGTGATTAGCCCTTTGCCTTCTCAATAAATACAACAGAAAGAGGGGACTTGCCAAGGTATAAGGCAGGATTTTTCAGAGCTTTAAACAAAATACTGAGGCCCCTCAATGCACATCCCCAAAAATTAGGCAACCTGTGCTGCCCTGGAGGATGATCAGGGGCAGATCCTGCCCTTCACATCCAGGGGAACAAACTCTGGAGCAGCAGCAGTGCCCCTGGCTGTTCTCCCTCAGCACATGGATCACACATGCAAACACAGGCAGTCTCACAGTCAAGTGTGACAGTTTTCTGGCCTTCAGTTCACTGGCTGAGGAAAGCAGGGCCTGAACAAACTGCCAACAGCCCCTGGCTGCTACACCCAGGAACAGTTCCAGCCCCAGCTTCCCATTTACACAGTGGGAACGGGACAAGTCATGTTCTCCTGGCCCTTCTTCCCCATCCTTCTGTTGACTCAGGAAAATAAGCAAAGCACTGGTTTGACATTTACCTTCAACTCTTTGGACTGGGATGTCACCAGGACTGATTTAGGCATCGTGGGCTCTCTGCTGACCACGTGCTGCTCACTGGGCTCTTCATTTTGCACTCTGCTCAGTGATGGGTCTGGATGATTCTTCTCATGGAAACCATGGAGCAGAGCAGACTGTTTTCTGTTCTCTCCAAGTCCCAGGAGGAAGGATTCCTTCTCTGGACTTCCTCGAGCATGGCCATCCCCATCCACTCTGGAGGCTTCTCTGCCACATGGAATGATTGCAGACACTGGAGTAACACTCTTCTCTTTCCCAGGATAGCTGGAATCCAAACCTGCTGCTTCCTGTGCCTTTGCTTGTTGCTGCTGTACCTCTCTGTCCCTGCTGCTGTGTTTCAGAGGTGAACTGAGGGCTGCTCTGGCTGTCCGTGCTCTGGGTTCCACAGACACCACCACTCCAGGGTCAGCATCCACCTGATTCTCCTTCTGTAAGGACAGAGACCCTCACAACACGTGGCATCAGTCACATTACAAATACCTTTCATTAGGACATTTCACTCACTAAGTGAAAAATTAACCTCTCGTTCTAGTCTGCTCACCCCTTTAAATTCCTGAGGGATAAAAAGAAAAATCCTGCTGTTGATTTGTGAGACCTTTTTATTTGGAGAAGAAAGAGATCCACTTCCAGCTAAATGCAGCTTTTCCCACTTTGAGGAACCACGAAACTTTCAGCCCTTGTGCTTAGAAGAAACAAAAGGATTTCATTCCACAATGTTCATTCCTATTTTTAGATGAAGAAACCTGCATGTCTTAGGCAGGAACTGAATTATTTGCAAGGAGAACAGACTGAGACCACAGGATAAACAATAACCAGAGGGCAGCTACTTTTCTAGCAGACTCCCTATTCCACATTCCAGTTTCTACCAGCTCCTCCATGTCCATATGACTCCTTTCCCACACCACAGGCAGAGCTGCTGTCCCACAAGGGCCATTTGCTTCCCAGAATTTCTAGCACAGACACCACACATACCCCTCTCCTGGGCCAGGGGACAGATCCCTCAGCAGCTCTGTGGCGAAGAACAGATGCTGGAAGGAGTGGCTTGCTGGGAACTCTTTTCCTGATCTCCTCCTGCTTTGTTGTGAGCCTTTGTAGAAGGTCCTGGTTGGCCTGACGCAGCCTCTTCAGAAGCTCTAAGTCCATCCTAGACAACCCTTTTCCTGTAAAGCCAGAGGAAGGGGGAACCACACAAATGGAAGAATTAAGTGAAGAAGCAGACACAGGAGAAACCACCTTCAGGGGATTTTTCCTAAAACCCACTTACAGCTGTTGAAATGTTGGAGTGTTGATCCCTTCTCCTGAGAAATCAGCCAAACTCCTTATGCTAAGAACCAGCACCACCTCAAGCTTCTCTCCCCTCGGATGGACCATCAAGTATTTTGCACTCAGAGACTGGGAGCTGACTGAACAGAGACAAGAAACTCTGACAGAGGAAACAGCACACATGAAAAAGTCACATCAAAAAGCTAAACAAGACACATTTGGTTCAGAGGCTGTTAATTAGGATATTCTTATGCAATTCTGCTTTAATGTTCTTTTGAACATTGAAATTTGTATTTTGATAAACCCAGGATGTTCATAAGTTCATAACCAACATGAATGCATTTGCTACATCCAAAAGAAATACTGAGTCAAAACTGTCCTCCATATCCCCCAGGCAGGAAGGCTCCAAAAGGCTCAATTATGACTCAGGACAAGGTCTTGGGCAATTCCAATCCCATAAATTAATTACCTTAAGTCCCACAAGGGAGTGAAAAGGAGTTAATAGATAAACAAATAAAGTCTAGTTTGAGTCTAGAAAGCTGTCACACTGTTGAACATCTTCACAACATCACAAGCTCCTCTAAATTTGCAAAAAGCGGATTTTTAAATAAAGCAGAAGCAAACCCTAAACCCAAACTCCCACGTTGCTTTTGATCAGATTGATAAATTATGTTCTCAATAAAACTATATGGTTTTCTAGGACATTTCATTCGGAAAGACCCCTAAACTCTTCTCCAAAGCTCATCTGATTTGTTTTTGAGTTTGCTCCCTTGGCAACTGGACACGGAGAATCAAATGTGGTGCAAGGGCACCAGGAGGAGTGGAGAGCAGTGCTAACAAACTACAACATATCTTGCTACAGGAAATAAGTGAGAGGTGCGGTATGGGACAGAAAATAGAAATATCGCTGTTGAGGCACTAAATTTGAGAAAACTTGACAAGAACCAGTGGTTCTCGCAGCCTCCACAGGACAAAGCTGACAGCTCTGATGAGCACCCTCTCACCACCGCTCACCAGAGAGCAAACACTCCGAAAACAACATCGGCCAAGGGACTTTCTGGAAGGGTTTTACCAGATGAGGTCCGCTCTTGGCACAGTCTACAAGAAGCTCAAGTTTATGAAAACCTGCCCTAGCCTGAATCCTCCGTGAGGAGGAGCTTCGCTCCCCGCAGTTAAAGATCAGCGGCGTTGTCTCGGGAGCCGCGGACGAGCTTCCTGCGCGGGAGTTGTGTGGCCCGGGGCTGTTCCGGGGCAGGGGCGCTGGTTCGGCTCCCCCGCGCCCACGGGGAAGGGGAGGGAGCCCCGGGCATTGCAAAATTCCCCTCCCTCCTCCAGAGGCCGGGCTGGCAGCGGCGAACCCTCCCTCCTCCCGCCGCCCGTCCCGCCGGCCTTCCCCGTCCCACCTGGGCCGTCCCGCCGCTCCGGGCCCCCGGGGGGGCTCCGGGGGCTGCCCGCCCGTGCCGGTCCCGCCGCAGCCGCCGGGGATCCCCGTGGCCGCCCCGGGCCTCCCGGCAATGCGCGGGGCCGGCACCGCCCGCCCGGGCCCGCGGGGGAGGCTGCCCCTCGTAAAGGCGGGGAACCGACCGAGGGCACCGACCGATACGTTCGCTGGCCGTTCCTTCCTCCGGTATCCTCAAGAAATCGTTGGTTCGATACCGACAGTTTTAATGCGACTAAAACTTTCAGTATCGGCGGTGCGAGGATAACACGCAGCTGCCGCCGAGGGCTCAGGGGAGACCTCATTGCTCTCTACAATTCCCTGACGGGAAGGAGGCTCTTCTCCCAGGGCTCTTCTCCCAGACAACCAGCAGCAGGACAAGAGGGCACAGTCTTAAGCTGCGCCAGGGGAGGTTTAGGTTGGACATCAGGAAGAAATTCTTTCCAGAGAGAGATGAGACACTGGAATGGGCTGCCCAGGGAGGTGGTGGAGTCACCGTCCCTGGAGGTGGTTAAGGAGAGACTGGATGTGGCACTGAGTGCCATGGGCTAGTAGGCAAAGTGGTGTTGGGTCAGAGGTTGGGCTTGATGATCTCAGACATGTTTTCCAACCTCGCTGATTCTGTGAAAGGCAGCGGAAGGATTGTAGGAAAATTTATTTCCAAAGTTGAGAACACTGCACTTAGGAGAACATTAATCCTAATGGCACTTCAAACACCCTCCTCAGGGCTTTTACAATTTCTGCCCCTCCCTCGGTGGGGGGCCTCTCTCATGTGTGCAGGACTTATCTTTTTCTCATGCCAGGGAATCTTTCTTGGGAATGCAAGAGGAGAAAACATCTAAAACTGTCTCTGGGGAAAGATGCCTCTTCTAGGCAGGAAAGCTTTCTTAAGCAAGATAAGCTCTAATCTCCTCCCCATAACTCTTCAAGAAGGGTTTTCTAACCTTACAATCAGTCTCCTTGTTAACTTTTGAAGTAAGAGCACAGAAGGTGGTCACTGGTGTCAAACATGCACCTCAGTACCACACGGAACACCCCTGAAATAGATGTACTTACACTGGAAGACTTTGTGTCACAACACTCAGGACACGTCAGGAGAACTGTTTTTTTCCAATTCATTTTTATTTTGGTTTCCATTGTTTACAGCACTGTTACAGGACTAATTCATGCAAATTTATCACCTTAAATACAGCAGAGAATAAACTCGCTGGTAAGAGTATTTTGAAGAGCTCCATCAACGTAACGCAACGGGAAATGTAGCAGCAATAAGATAAAAGTGCATTTAGCTGACCTTCTTTAATGGGAGTTTTGGAGGAGACTGTTTTTGGAATTACCTGTTTTACAGATTAGTTTAGCCTTCCTTATTAAATCAGAAGAGAACAGCCTCCTCCTGATAGTGTTCATTCCTCCACCACTCTGAATTAAAGAAGTGCAGCTGTTGATGTGTTTCAGAGGAATCCAGCTCATAGGCCTGTCTGTTAAAAGTTTGATTCTCTATCATTCAGGCTTCTGGGGACAAGGGTTACACACATATTAAAAATTCTTCTCTCCCCTGTTAGCAGTTTTGCTTCTGAAAAACTCCAAGTGGTTCTTTCCCCTGTTCTGCAGGTTGTGTCAGCTGTGCAGTGAGAACACACCACCCAAAGCTGAGCAGCATCAGAGGCACACACAGCACCAAGACTCCAGGTTCCAAGAACCCATCAATCTCTTTTCCCTTTACAGATAAGACACTGGCTTAAAGATAAGCTCATTTATCAGATTTCCCCTAAAGGCCTGCTGAAGAGATGCTGACAGGTCTTCAGAAGCAAGGTCAGCATTTCAAGTAGTCATGAGCAATAGTACATCACCCTCTGCCTCGACCTGGCACTGACAATTTCCTGGTGTATGAGGGATGTGCTTAATGTTTTAACTCAACAGAAGAGTACATAGCTTATAACTGTGTATGTGATAGCTTGAGAGACCAGAGATCCAAATTAATTCAAATAATACCTCCAGCAGAGTAAGGGATGATCCACTTACTCCAGTATACTTCACCACATGCCCAGAGCACAGACTTCCAGAGGCAAGGACTCAGATTTCTTTCTTGCTCGTTCTCAGATCTGATCCAAGCTATATTTATGTCCTGGTGGCTACCTGAGGAACCCAGCCAAGGCCAATGAAGCCTTCTGATAAAAACAGCTTTTCAGTTTGAGCTGGAGTCAAGGCTGTCTACTGGAAGGGAGAGGTTTGTTTTCTTTCTGCATTCTGGACACATAAGAGTCTCACCACCAGCTCCAACACAATCAAGGTACTTCAAGTCTTACTGCAAATCTCAGAACAGCCTTACCTAAGATGTACTTACTGACATTTCACTATTTTTACTCCCTCAAGTATCAGGCAGCTTCTTTCTGGACCTTCCATGACACAAGAAACAGGGGACTTGTCACAGGCACACCTGAGCAGGAATGAGAAATCCTAAGGCCATTTTCAAGGGAAAAGTCTCATTGTCAATAAGAACACCCCACTGCTCAGTAGTTCTAAATGCAGTCCATATTCTATGTGTGTGATGCTGAACAGATTTAGGTTGTCACTAACCCTAGAACTACAGGATCTGATTCTGGATTCCTCAGGCATTTTGTGGGCAACAGAAAGATTATACCCAACACATGGCAAAATACCGACCCACAAAGAGGAAAAGAAACTTTCCAAACAACAGAGGAAACATATCCTACTACTCCTAAAATCAGTGAGAATTTCTTCTCTATCAATTTCAACAGGAAGAGACTCAAATCCTTACAATTCCCAAATCTTATATTCCAAATTCATAACTGCTTCAGGGCAAAACTCAAAAATTCATTTCATCTCTTTGCAAATAAAGAATGTCTTAGGGGAAAAAAAAAAAAGCTGCATTAACCCATTCTTGCCCTGGCATGAACTACGAGGGCCACAACTCCCCCCACCCCCGAGGAGCTGTACCTGCCAGCTTGTTCTCATACTTTTAACAGAAGAGAAACCTCATCAAATCCTATCGCTGCCCGGACCGCCACATCCTGTGGGAACTCTGCACGAAGCAAAATCTCTTACAGCGTGTAATCCACATGCTGTTCTTGTGGCCAGAGTGGTAATGGAATTCCAAAGGCCTGCTTCCAGAAACACAGCTGTGCATTTCCAAAGAAAACCCACATTCATTGACTTAGCTTGTAAGGCAGTTCATTACATTCCGTCAACAGGCTTTTCCTTCCTAGTTTTCTTCCTCAACAAGCTGCCAAATTATCGGCACTACCTCCTTCACAGGAACTGGTTCTGTCTTTGCAAACTACTTGTCTGTGACAGGAAATGGGCCAGACTGTTATTAAAGAGCTCTTAAGAGGAAGAAACTAACTCCAAAGCCACTAAGCTTACCAAAGCAAAATCTTAATCCCTTTTTCTCTGGAAGAGGACTGGGTTTTGTTCAGAGGTTTAAGCATACTGACAGCAATAAACCTTTCTATGAAGGGACATTGGGATTCTGTGTCAGGTTCTAGAAAAACAGAATATTAACCCAGGAGACAGGCCTGTGTGGGCTCTAAATGCATTGTGAAACCACCACCACATCTGTGTGCATGGGACCTGTGTTTAGACAAACAGCTGCTTGTCACTCACACCCCCACCTGGGCTTGGAACTCAAAAGCTCTGTCTTTATGTAGTAAAACAAATGACTCCATAAAGAGGTGTCAGAATAACTTTTTAACCTGATAAACATTTTTCTTGTTTGCTTTAAATTTGTTTAAAGCAAAATGAAGTGCAGTAAAAGCCCCCTGTAA